GGTTCCTCGCACTTCATGCTAGGACGCCGTTGGGTCCTAGCGCTCCATGCTCGGGTCCTAATAATGTGCACATTATCCCTTACTTAGAACATGATTAAGATAACCGCAGATTCACTTTCTAGTGATTAACTTTAGATGAATTCATTGATGGTTTCATCTCGAATGATGAGTACACTATTAAAGTGAGCGATACAGACCCTTCACTATGCTTCAAAGAAAGTGACTCACTGCAGCTGGGACAACCGCAGGCATCCGAATGTCCACAGAAAAATTGTGAGGGTTTGCTGAGACTGGCTGCCTGGTCCTGGACACACAGTCACTGGGGTCTGACACCACATGTTCCTGAGACCTTACGAGGAAACATTACAGGACACTCAATGAGTTAAGCTTCACTTTAACAACACACTATACAAAAATACACTCAGTCAAGACAGTAGATGTTTTCATGCAACAAGATTTTTTGTAGGATTCATGCATTTAAAGTAAGGTTAGGTAAATCCTCCATTTGACGATTATGATTCCTGCTTATTAATTCCATTTGGTAACAATTCTCGACAGAGACAAAGCAGATACAATGGTTTTTTGGAAACTGTTACACAATTCATATTCATGCCGTGTCAGAGAGAGCATGATGCTGTTTCAGCTACAACTCATCTTGAAAACACCCAATCCATGACACACTTTCACCAATGTCCTCTGAATAAAAACATTAATTAAGATTCAGATTTTGAGATTAAACAGTTTCTATTTGAATTAAACAAATCCACATAATAAGATTTTGATAAAAAGTGCAAGTGCTTGTAGTACAAACAGTATATTTGTGGATTTGGATTTTCATTTAAGATGCTGTGACACAACAATATCCAACTGCCTAGCAATGTTCGATGAGGAAGGAAATGATTTCAACATGTTTTTGTCACTTTCAGGAAACCAAGAAGATCACACTGAATATGAACGTATCTTGGTTAATTAGAAAACTCTACTAGGCACCTTTAGGCTGGTGGGTTAAATGTTGTCTTAAACAAGATACATTTGTAAAATCCTTCATGTAATAAAATGTGTATTTCCAAACCAAATTTTTAAATGTTGTTTTACATCGCCCAAACAATTACAAGCACATAACCAATGCATAAAAAGCGTTTTTCTCTGACCTTTTCAACCTGTCCAGTGCATTTTGTAGTTCCAGGCTGTGGCTAAGACAGATGAATGCTAGCACCAGCACAAAGGACACAGGGACTTTCATCCTGTCTGCTGCTGCTGTGCTGCCGTCTGAAACAGATGTGAAACAGGCTGTCAGCAATTAACTGTGGGGAAAGACAGGGTGGAGAGATCCTGTCCCACCTGCGTTACTTGCTCAGCTTGGTTTGAGGGTAGGTATTGCTGGACCTCACTCCTTCAGCATGTTGGATTGTAACGCTTGTATCTTTCAAGTAGCTAAGATGAGTCAAAGGTGTGTCTTGACCACCTGAAAAAGCATGTGTGTTAACTGAATGCCATGGCGAGGAGACACAAACCGAGTATATAAAACCACAGTTGGCTCTATCTATTTAAATGTGGTAAATATTATTGATCTTTTTGACACGATCTGCTGTGACATTATTTGTCGTTCTGAAGATTATGATAGAAAATTCTAAATTAGAAGGAAATATCTCTGGTTGTATGTATTGTAAAACTGTAGGCAGAATTAAATAGCTCCCAAATCAAAAAGTAAGAAGAACAAAGGTATACAATGACACAGTAAAGCTATAAAATAACAAGCTCAAAACTAATCAGCTGCCTGTATGGGATTAATAAAGTATCACATACTGACTTTCTCAATGCCTTACAGGGCTCGACATTATAAATGGCTCACTGGCCCGGAAGCACTATTTAGAAACCCCGGGCCAGCATAACGTACTTTCCACTTGCCCGCTCGGGCCACAAAAAATATTGCTTTAAAAAAAAAAATGTGTCCTGTGGTATTGGTATTTTGACTAACAATTTTGTTAGATTGTTTCGTTTATTAACGCTACAACATAGCGTTTCGTGAGGCAGATGTCGTTGTTGGGTGAAAAGCAAACAGCTGTTTGCTGCGGAGCGCAGCGCGCCACCTAACCATTCGCCAAAATGTTTTTAATACCAGCGGTAACCGGCCAAGCGCCGGGCAAAAAACAATCTTCAAATAAAAGAAAGTCACTGGAGGAGTTAAAGGAGAGTGACAGGGAGCATGAGAAGAAGAGGGAGAGAAAGTTTCAGCCAGCTTGATCGATGGAGTGGTGCAGTGACGCGTCCTAAAACCCTTTTATAATCTATCGATTAGATTTATGATTCGAACATTATAGAAGTAGGGTAGACATGTGGAGATTATCCGGCTGAACAAAAACGTGCATTTATCAAACAGGTTTGTTTTCCACAGACCTTATTTCCAGCTATTTTCCAAAACCCTGTGGAGAAATCCCATTGCTTTTTTGTCGAGGGAACCTGCAGGTTACTTCCTGGTTTTAGGACGCGTCACTGGCTGCACCTCTCAATATGATGCCAATATAAACAAGGTCTTCTGTCGGCTCTGTACATCAATGCCGACCTATGCTGAAAAGTAAGTGAAGAGTAGAAAATATAAAGGTATTGGCTCTATAGCCCGGGCCAGCATAACGGAAATGTCCCAGCAGTTTAGGATAATGAAGGATCTAATCTAATCTATTACATAGCCATTACATGTCTAACTCCTAATGATAGGAAGGCAGAAAGCACATTATACAAATAATAATAATACTCATAATAATAGCAGACATTTTTTAACAATGACCACAATATCAATACTTTAATAAACCAAATATGAACAATTGAGGAAAATGAGGAAGAACTGATGATTCAAATGTTGTAGTACAAGTAGTAATGTAGTTAGTGCATACATTACTATTGCAACAATGTGTTAATTTTCTTCATTATTAGTCGATTTTTTTTGGACGAATGCTCCGGGCCAGTGGTTACAATGGTGGGGCCAGTGATAATACAAGTGTACCCTTAATGTCTACCCCTGCATTGGGTTTACGTATGAAAGGTGCTATATAAATTGAAGTTGTTATCATGATAACGCTTGTTGCAGTGCTGCTGGGAGTTTTTATTTAGTTTTAGTGTTGGTTTTATGTGTCGTTGAACGACACATAAGTCACCAGAAGAAGACAGACAGGACGTAAACACGGGCCGTTTATCAATGTCGAGTAAAGCTGCTGCAGAGCCACTATTTCAAGTAGGCCTGTAGGTTTTCTCTGGAAGTTTTTCCTTGTACGATGTGAGGGTCTAAGGACAGAGGGTGTCGTGTTGTCTTACTGATATTCTGTACAAACTGTGAAGACCACTGAGACAAATGTAACATTTGTGATATTGGGCTATATACATAAACATTGATTGATTGATTGATTGATTGATTGATTGATTGATTTTGCGTATTGTTTTTGTAAGATTGGGCTGACTGACTAAATTAGCTTAACGCACACTCAACCCCACTGCCACACACTTTATATAAAACGATTCTTACTATACAAAAAAAATAATTAGAACTCCAGAAACATATTTCATCTTTGTGGTTCCGTAGTGCACTTTGCAAGGGTACAGAGTTATATGCTCCTTCAGTCAGACCACTTTAGATTTTAAAACCATTCTCTCTGAATTAGTTGCAGGCTCAGGAGACTTGTGGTTGTCCACTCATCAGAAGGTTGAAGGTTCAATCTCTAGCCCTTGCTGTCAACAAGTCGTATAGAACACAGACCCTTTAACGACCCTCTGCTTAGTCGAATACTTGTTCTGATTGGTCAAGGAAATTTCAGAGGTTTTTAAAACTCAACAACACACAGCTGCTAAGCAAAATAATGAACGTTGCAGAGGAGGGAGAAAGGAAAGAGGTTGAAACACAGAGAGCGTTGAACGTCACATAAGTCACCAGAAGAAGACAGACAGGAAGTAAACACGGGCCATTTATCAAGAATGTCAAGTAAAGCTGCTGCAGAGCCACTATTTCAAGTAGGCCTATACTACGTCATCGAGTGGCGCCGAATGCTGGGCATTTAAACAGTCCTTCGGCTAGATACACAACTAAATAAATGAATAAATATGAGCACACATTGTCTCACAAGCAAAAAAAACCTCAACCATATCCAAATCTGTATCAATCAAAGATTTCGAGCAAGGAACACCAACATGTTTGCATTGTCGGGCAAATGCATCTTTGATTGCAAACTGTCGGGAATGTGGGGGCTCTCCATCTCCAGCTGCCGTGTTTGCTCCCAGCTGGGAAAACGGAATGGGGTGGTTGTGTGTTTCAGGTGCGGTTTAAGGTTGGCCGTATTGCTAGCTTTTGTTGCTCCCTTTTTAAAACAAATGTGACACACCGCCCAGCTCATTCAAGTCTGTAGGTTCGCCTCGTTGATTTGGCTTGAATCCAAAATATTCCCACACCGGAGAGGGAGTTATTATTAATTATATTTAACTTCAAATTCCCCTTGAGTAAGTCACACGTTGTCTCCTGCTTGTCTCTATATTATTAATGTGGCTGCTACACTGCTGCACGCGGAGTGTCCTGACCTGGCTGTGTGTGAGCGCTGCCCCTCACAGCACGCCTGGCCGGCAGCCACAGCGCACCTGACTAAAATGCTGGTCACTTCCTTATGTAAACAAACACGCATGTAAACAAACACGCATGTAAACGGCAATTTATCGAGGTCAGAAAAGTTATCGAGTTCATATTTATTTATCGTACGATAAGTCAATTAATTGCTTATCGCGACAGGCCTAGACCCAGGCAACACCCCTTTCTGGACCTTTAACTGAACATGTGAAGCTGCTTCTTTTGAATGTATGCTGTTAATAATGTATTTTCTAGAGAGTATGGCTGTCCTTTTACAGTTTACATTTTCAAGTGATATAAATGTGCAGCCCTTCTCTGAGTCTGTGCCTGATGTTGTCCACCCCACCTAATAATGTCTAGACCCGCCCCTGGTTTTGGTCAAATCAAGGAAATGAAGTTGATCATTTATTAAGGCACATAAAATGTTTGGCCCTAATCCTCTTCCATAGTCATCTTTATTGATTTGCAAAAGGTTCTCGGAATAGTTTAATTTAAACCAAATATATTAAACTACCAGCTATAAACCTTACTGTCCAATGGCATTTACCATATCCCCTTCACCCTGTTCACATCAGTGTGACATATTTACTTTGAAACCCAGAGGATGTTATAAATAACCGAGCAATAATCAGCTGGTGACTCATCGCTAACAGTGAGGTAGGAACAACAGAGAGGGTGTGACATCACAGCCTCCTCAGCTCAGGGAACTATGGAAACGGCTCAACCCACTCACCGACAACTGCACGTAGCCTGCTGCAGCACAAACACTCACTCTTATTATTACTCTTAATATTCCAGCTTTAGGCTACACGGTTGTGGTTTCAATTTAAAAACAAATAAAAGGACCTGAACAAAATACTTAAGCGAGTGTGTTTTTTTCCAATTTGTTCAAATAATTGTTTGGGTTTTCAAATACACCGTTATGGATACACACAGATGTGTCACGCGTAAACTAATGGCTTAAATACGAAGCCTGATGTTGGAGATGTGGACCTAGCAGCTAGCTGTAGATACATGTAAACACACCGCTGTGAACTTCCTTCTCAGATGAAAACGAGCTGTATTTATCCGGGAACTCCCAACGTTAGCTAATAAACACATTGTACACAAGCTAACGTTAGCTTCCGCAATCTATTGCGCTGCTGTGTTTTGACAGGTTTCGACAGATCGAGTCTGAGCTTTGATAGCTTTAATCAAACTTGTTGTAAGTGTACTGAAAGCTTGCAACCCAGCTCGACGGAAAATGTTTAAGAGATAAGCTTTAAAGATAAAAAAAATGTACCTGTTCGCTGAGTCTGGAAGTATTTCAATCGCCTGACAGACAAGAGATAAATGTCTGCTTTACTAGGAGTCCGTATCCAACCACACTTCCGCTTTCAGAATAAAAGCTCGTTCACCTAAAAACGTAAAATTCACAGAATTATGCAATCACACACACACACACACACACACACACACACACACACACACACACACACACACACACACACACACACACACACACACCGTATATGATCCCATCCCAAAAATGGCGATTAAAAACAAACAAAACGTTTTTTTAACGTGAGGCTTTTATTCTGGAAATATGACAGGAAGTCTCAAGTTCTCGATCCGGCTACTGGTGGATCTGGAGCCAAAATGCACATCTTGAATCGCTACACTAGTACGAGTGAGTTGTTGTTTTTGTCTTCGTGTCTGCGGCATTCTGAAAGCATGTGAACCTACAGCTTAGTGGCGCTATCGTCTTAACAGCTAAGTTATCGTGCCTGTCTGCATACACATAACGTTACAGCATACATGCCAACCTTTCCAAATCAAAAAGAGGTAGGTTTACGCGTGGCAAATGTGCACGCCCAAATTTGGTAATCAGAAGAAATGGAACCACAGTAATTGCAGGTATAAACCATGTATACATTGCATCACTTTTTGCATTTTTCACAAAAATTGGTCATACGATGTTCAGTCACTTTAGTGCTGAGAATTTCAGGGTCTGGTTTCCAGTTGCAGCAGGTTAATTTTTTTAAGATGTTTCTCTTCCCTGCCAACAGACGTCCGTGTGCTTCTCTCCTCTCCGCGATACCTTGATAAAGTCATGATCTGCTGTCC